GGCCTAGGGGCTGGGCGTGGAGGTGGTCTTTTTGCTGTCGGAGGCGGAGGTGCCAGGTGGGCATCGCTCGGTATGTATGAGAACCATTTATAAGTACCTGGCAACTGGCGAGCCTGCTTGGCGGGCCGTGCGCACGGGCCCGTTTCAGGGAGCGCGCAAAATTCGTGCAGCCCGCCGTCCCCGCAGCCTGCGCCGCCGCATCGCCGCAGAGAGTCAATCATTTACGGAGTATTTCCACGGCCGCATCTTTTCGCCCTCCGCCACAGATGCGCTGTTGCCGTGCAGTCGACGGCGCGCGCTCGAGACACAGAAAGAGAAAGCGCACCTCGCACGCGCGCCTTCTCTCCAGTGTGCACTGTGGCCAGGTTGTCACTGCGCACCCGCCGGCCTTGGCCAACGCTAGCCCGAACCATCACCGCCTCACCGAAAGACTCTGAGCAACCACTCTGCGCGTCCGCAACACCAACATCACGCCCTCGACTGGCGGCCATCTAGTACCGAAATCTGGCGCCTTGCCTTGCTCGTCCCTCGTCGTCCCCACTCCGTTTTTCTCGTCGAGCCGGCCGCCCGTCCGCGGCGACATGTCAGCTCAGCCTGGTCGTTGGCCTCCCCGAACGCGATATCAATGATCCAGGCATCTGCGTGGCCACCAGCCATATGCAAGGCTGAAGATCAACTAACTCACCGGCTACCTGCATCTCCTCCAGACAAGCCGCCGCCAGCTGCCAACGGCACGCGCCTCATTCTTGCACATGGATGGCCGTTTTTCCTCCTGCATGTTCACGCCCATCAAACGCTTCCCGTGCAGCATCTTCTCCCAGCGGACAATCCGGATGCCGTCGGAGCCCACAGCTCGGCGCTCGCTTCCGCAGCCCACAAAGTACAGATTGCCGTTGATCTGCATGCGGCCGCACAGCTAGCGCATGCATGCTTTCGAGTTCCGGCCTGTTTTTTAGCGTATCTATCCGTCCACGCCGTACTTGATTTCGGATATGGTCGACCTCAGGAACATTGCGCTGACAATACTCCGTACTTGAAGTCAGGCAAGACAGATGCATTCGGAGAATGCTTTCCTCGTCTGAGAAGAACGCTCGGCACGGACATCACTCAGACCCGTTGTTCCTTCGACCCAATGTACAGTCACCCACGTTGCTAGGTGGTAGTTTTGGACAGTAGCGGGAGCGCACAGTTCCCGCACCCGCACCCAATACACTCGTGCTGGACGTCTCGATAGTGGTCTGCGCCAGGCAGCACTGCACACATATTGCTCCGTTTGCTCAGCCATCGGTTTCCTGGCGGCGTCGCTTAGCACACTGTCGTACAGGCTGGGTTGTCGGCCTATTGGAAAAGTCTGTCGCGCAGTCTCTGGCCCTGCAGACGAATCACGGCGAAAGCAAACAATTTTGCGGCTCTACCACCTGGATAGTTTCTCAACGACGGGCCGTTGCGTTGGCTGGTATGTTGGTATTATCGGCCGCCCAACGCTTCGGGCCATGCTCATGGTTTACCTACCCAGTAGGCCATTCATTTATTCTTCGATTGAAATCCAGTGCATTCGCTTGCAAATATACTAAACACCGATATAGTCTTCGAAAAGGTCTCTACAGGTCGCATTCTTTTCCTACGGTTCAACTGTAAGCCTTTGTTATATTCTACTCCAAATTGCAGTGTTCGCTGAAGTAGTTGGGAGCATCTTCCTGTAATCCAACAAAGCTTCTGCCATCACTCCTATTTTACTCAATCTTGCCAGTTCGATGACTGATATCCCTACTATGTAGTGTTCGCCAAATATTGCAAGTTTATACGGTAGGAGCATTGTTCACCTTGCTAGTAATTTCATCTTATCAGTCTCAACTCGTGATATAAACGTGCATCTAGCTAGAAGTTTTAGTACTCTCTCTCATAGCAAAGGCATGTTTCACCTTCTCTTCATATTTAGCTTCCTTGTGTTCTACTCAGTAATGATATTCGAATTTATTTGTGACCGGGCGATGGTTCACTGAGCAATTTATGCTACCCATCTCTCTTACTCGCGTCTCGTTCCTTCTCTAATTTCGGGATTGTCCACGCAAGCAGGATGCTTGGCACGTTGACTGCCTTCCGAGGTCCAGCATCGTTATTAGTACATTGTACACCTACAAGACAAGCCTGAAGTACAATCTCTAGGTTAGTTGGCGTCCCGCGCCTACGAGAGTAATCTTGCAGTCCACGGTCTACAGTCCCTTATAGAAACCCCTCTGCTCCAAGCCGGATCTTCTCCAACCAAGCCGGATCTTCTCCAACCAAGCCGGATCTTCTCCAACCAAGCCGCCACCACCTTGCCCTCATCCAGCTCCCCACCTTGACAAAACTCCATCCTCGGCTGGAAGATCTGTTTCCCCGGCGCCGACCTTAGCTCGTCACACGTGCTCGCATCTTCGTACGGCACCCACCGCATCTCCTCTTGGCGCCCTTGCGGCGTGGGCGCAGTCCTTATCTGCCGGACCGCGAGCCACAATCTACGATTCCGCACATCGAAGCGCGCGAAGACAGCAAGAGCGATTGTCGGTGGTGCGCGCGTTGTGACGCGGTCGACGGGTGCGTAGGGGCCGATGTACGGCGTGTTGAGCAGGAGGGATTTGTTGGGCTGATGGAGCGATGTGAACATAACAAACGGGCGCGGTGCGGTGTCTACGGCCCAGTGGGGTTGCTCCGGCGGCGGAGGCGACGCTATGGATGCATTCGGTACGTCGCTGATTACTAGCGGGTCTGGTGCTGTGCCCGTGAGACCGCGGAGGAAAGAACGCATGTCTTATGTTCGATTTTTTCTTGTTGTTGGTTCCTAGGAATTCGTTCGTGTAGAGTAGGAATGCGATAGGGAGATATTTGTCTGGTTTGGATATCTAGGGAAGGGTGAAGAGGTTGGTTTTGAAGGCTTGGGAGGGGTTGCATTGCGCCCTCACTTTGCCAACGTTGTTCGCTCTTTCCTTTCCTATCGTAGCCGAGTTGTCCGGCGTTCGTTGGCACTGTTTGCAAACAATGTTACGAGACGCGGTGCTGCGATGTCGTTCGCCTCAACACTCCTCCCTCGTCCTTTACGCTCGTTACTCACCAAACATTGCAATGTAAGTGCAATTTCATAATCTAAACTAGTTGTTTCCTAGTCATGCAGTTGTAATCACTGGTAGCTTCCTCTTCCACATCCTACCAATGCTATCGCGCTACAAATATCTGGAATCTATGGAGACGCCAGAGCGAGTATTCTGACTAGAAAACATAGGAGCGTGGCCATGGGCTGTCTTCAACGCCAGCATGTACAGCCCCAATACTTGTAGCTAAGATCGAGCGCATCTCATCTCTTTTGCTAACTAACACTATGCAGTCTAGTCACTTCCTCGGGGAATATCGCTTATATTCTGCATCACTCTACCCAACTAGGCCTACTACAAAGACTCCTACAACCAAACCATCACGATCTTCACTACATCAGCCACTTACGAAGCCACGCACAAGACTACTCAATCCACCAAGCGATATTTAGTAGCAAAAAAACCTTTCATAAGATGGACTCTTGCGGAATCCATGCCCAAGAAACCTGTCCCTGACGCGTTGATTTGAGCTGGTTTGATTTGTCCGACATCGAATACCCAGAGGCAGCTCTGCAGCGCCGTTGAGAATCTTTCGTGTGACCGCGACCTGTATTGGTGGAATCCAGCACACATCAATGATAGACAGTCATCTGCGAACACGCCAACCTCCTACCAGCAACGAGTCCGCCGATACGCCACGAAGTTCGAACCACAGCATCCGTTGGTTGGCTGACGCGCTGGGCTGTGCTGCTTCGCCAACTCCAAGAGTTACCCAAAGACAAGGTCTGGCATTGAAGGACTACCGGGTCGGCGGCCTCAAGCTCCACTCCCAAACTCCCGGACCGTTCGCTCTCAACACTGGGACCCGCAATCCAAGAGCTTGTCCTTCTCGTGCTTCGCTCAGCTGGACTTGCGCTGCGACCTCCGGCGCGCTGATGATCTACCTGCTGCGCGTGTTTATGACGCGCATGTGCGATCCAGACAGAAGGAGATGGTGCAACTGGAAGCAGTTCAATGATGAGGCGTACTGGGATGTTGCGGGCCTCCCTCATCTGGACTTGGCGATCGAGCGGTCGAAGCTGCAACACCTGGTGCACTTGCGCCGTAGGGTCCGCGTGGCTGAGGCGGACGGCCTTGCTGAGTGCGAGGCGTAAGTGTTATCGGCGATGCAGGGGACTCGATCCCCTCTTCAACGATCCTCAAGGAGACTACGATGCTGATAGGCCGTGTACGGGGAGGAAGCCGCGAACAACCAGGGTGGAAAGGGTTTGCAGGTGCAAGATTTGACGGCGGCGATGAGGACAACGAGGGTGGACAACGGCTGTCTTCTTTGAGGCGTTGAAAGAGGAGGCGTTGGAAGGGGGGGCGTTGGAAGGGAGCGGGAGCGGACATGGCTTCGTGCATGTATGTGTGACCTTGGTGTAGTGTTTTGACATGGGTTTGGAAGAAGCAAAATTTTTCTATAGTGGAGAATGTGATGCGTGATTACGAGCTGATAGAATTACTTTTGAATAATGCATGCGAGCTAAGTTTTTAGTCCGGCGTTATAAGGAAACCAGTGACAGTTATCAAGCACTGATTGGTGCGTAAGTGAATGTAAACACCATCGACCTGCTTAAGGGCATATATCTCCCCATTGAGGTAAGAGGTCTTCAAAGGCTCCTACCAGCCAGAGCTTATGTGCAGTGAGCTATATCAACATAACCTAGCCATCGCACTATTGGTTCGTCGGGTGCTTCTTTAATACTAGAAGATCTGCTAATATAGTGGTGATAGCGTTGCTTAAGTAAAGGCGAGAAGGATCAATTCTCCGTCTGGCTGTGGTGGCATAAAAAATAACTGAAACCTGTTCAAGGCAGTTCAGAGCTTAATAACAGTACCCACTGAGTAGGAGCTAAGGTGACAAAAAATTGCAAAAAATTAAAGATAATGTGACCATGCCAGGGGTCGAACCTGGAATCTCTTGATTTCGAATCGTAGTCAAGCGCCTTGCCATTGGGCCACATGGCCGTGTGATGTAATATAGAAATCTGTGGCCTCACAGAATAAATATACTATTCAATAAGGTCGCTTCACGACAGCGGGATAACAAGCGGTCAAATCTGAACCGGGTTTGAATAGAATAGAAAATTGCGGGGCGTTGTGTGCCGAAGGCCCGCGGTAAGCCGAACCGGTCAGTTAACCCACACTTTCCGCCCCCGTCGCGTATCGTACACCAGGCAACACCAGGCAACACCAGGCAACGACGTCTACAAACATGCTATACAGCCTTGCGCAATGCCCTGCTCCAGCTTCCTCCATATATTTCGCATTTACTCCCCCGATCACCTAACGCGACCTACCCACCAAAAATTGAAAACAAATCGAAAACCCGAGAGCCCTCCAGATACGCCTCACATCATGGCGACCGATGCGACCGCAAGTTCCATGCCCACCTTCGCTCAATTCCCCTCTGAGAATTTTGTGCTAGGAGCTGGGGTTGCCATCTTCCACATCGCGTCGAAACGAGTGGTGATATGTCGCGCCCAGGATCGCCGCGGGAGGCAGTACTACTTCCTGCCCAAGGGACGACGCGATGCTGGCGAAGAGAGTGGATGCGGGGCAGAGAGAGAAGGCTATGAAGAGGTATGGCTATTTCAGTTCAGTTGTATCACAGTCATGGGTTGCGCAGCTGCTATGCATCGCACTACACCTCACGGCGTCAAATGAACGATAGCTGCTAATACGTAGCGTCTAGTCCGGATATCGCAACCGCCTCCTCCCTCTCCCTACAAAACACCGCCAGCCTCAAGCCCACCCGCGCGTCCTCGCTCCACCACTCACAGCCGAGCCGGTATGGATGCAAATGATGCCCATGGGCGGCCACGGGCCCCGGCAATACATTGTCTACTGGTACATCGCAGAAACCCTGCCTCCCGATATCGAAAAGGAACTTCAGACAGAAGCCGGCGGTGCATACAAGCCGCCGCCCCCATATCCCAAGGACTTGAAGCTTCGCGACAGGGCCAAGTTGGAACCCGAGGGATACGAGCCTGTGCATCACGAAGGGACTGGCGTGGACGAGGAAGAGCAGACTTATGAGAGTTATCTGGTACCGCTCGACGAGGCGGTGGAGAAGTTGGGCAAGAGGGATGTCATGGCTGCTGTAGTAGTCAGGGGCTGGCAGGGAATTCAGGATCGTCTTGCGATGGAGGATTTCGTAGGGACGGAGAGCCCGGAGCAGGCTGTTTGAAGAGACTACAGAGGAGCTACATACTTTCGAAGACATGTTGGAGAGCACAGAGCTTGCAATGGAGCCGATGATATCGCAGCGGCACCTTGGACTTCCGGAACACGGACTATAGAACCGCGTTGAAAGCGCACGCATCAGCTGATAGTAGAATTGGCCTCAGACGAAATACTACACGACTTAAGACTTCAAGACTACAAGACCATACAAAATGGAAGGCTTCAAGATCTTTTATGTTGAGGTCCCCACTTGGTACTCGCAGCTAACCCTCCGTCACCCTCCGGTCGTCCATAGATTTACCGCACCATGCACCCAAATACTATCCCGTTAACGGTTTCTCGAAAGCGAACTCGGCCTTCGGAAACCTGAAAACTCTTAGGCTGCCAAGAGGATCACCGAATGTCTGTCGCTATTAGCAATGATTCTGCTAGGGGGGCAACATAGGTGGTGTTGCGCCACAGGATTCGGAGCAGTGCGTCTCTTCGCCCACTTTATCACCATCTGGGAAAACACAGATCGAAACGTGGAAGGCTTGTCTGAACAAGCACAACTATACAATCTAATTTAGCTGGAGCCAATCCCACCACAGTCAATTTAGGGAACGTCCCACCCCTCACGTGGCTCTTTCTCGCGGAGCCGACATCAAACTTTCTAGTGCGGTTGGTGTGGTTCTGTCTATATTCCTCGCTATGCGGCCAGATCTCATATTGCACAACGGCGGTGAGTGCGGGCAAAGAAGACGTCTGCTCAATATGTTCAGCGACGCTAGGGTAGGTGGTCTGGATTTGTGGTTACTCTCCAAAAGCCCAATACATATCGAAACCAAAGTCTCAATCTCGCAGCCTGAGCTGGAGTGCAAAGTTGATCACACTCCAATAGTTGATTTCCTAATCTGCATTCCCTTCTCCATTGCCTTGTTCTCGTCCAAATAGCCTCGATGCATGCACGTTTTCGCACGTTTTCGCTTAACCGGCACATGAGCCATGCACCATCCCCCACAGGCTTCATCTACAACAATCTATCCCCACAAACGCACGCACCACTTATTACCGCTACCTGTGGCCAGCGCAGCGCTATCCAGGAATTCTGCCCTTGGACTGCAAGATGCGATATACCCATGGCCCCCTCCCCATCCTGCTGCAGCTTAGAAAACCCCGACGGTCTAGCCCTCGCGGCAGAACTGGATAAAAGCGAGCGAGTCCCCATGATCTTGCTCGCCTGGTGAATGCGACATGTGCTACTGTTGACAAATCCTCGACAAATCCTCCGATGGTTGCGGGGAGGGGAAAGCGAGACTCTTCCTAGGTACTTATCGCAGTGCATGTGGTTAGCTATATCAGAAGGTAATTAAGAGTGCGGATATACCCCCTCTGTGATAGCCAGCCTGCCGACGTATTTGTACTGACCTGACAAATAGGGCATACCGTATATTCCTCGCTGCGAATGGCTGAACTTTGAGCAAGACAAAGTAGCCGGCCGCAAGTCACTTGCAGCCAAGCCGACGATATGGCAACACCAACCGGTCTTAGATCGACGCAAGAACACGAAGCTAACTTCGGACCTCCGCCGGCCGGATCTGCTATCGGTGCGTCTCCCGCGAATGGATACAAAGCATACGCCTGGCTGCATATGTGAACAAAGACATCAGAACGAACCTATCCCGTGTACGCTCCATCCCATGCAGTCTGGCAGGATCGCACCACCAACTGAAAACGTACCGGAGTTGTGATTCCCTTCCTTGCAATCGTCGAGGGCCTCGCCAGATTGTCCATTCTAGAACGTTTGCAGAAAAGTCTCCCCGTCCAGTATAGCCGACCATGAACGGAACGTCACCCACCGTAGAATATCACTAACCTCGCCTTCGGCTAGTAGGAAAAGAGATGTAAGGAATTGCAGAGTGGTCATGACCTGTTGCAGGAGAAGCTCCGGCTGTGAATCAGTCTACTTATCTTGTACAGTAGAAAGTTGAAGCTACGACAAAAAAACCAAGCCGAAGAGCTCTATCTTACCCAACTAGAGGTGGGAATGCTACTTACCTATTACGCTACGCTGCTATGCAAACTCTTCGACGATCACAAGATAATCACCACTTCAGACTTGACCTACGTCCAAAGGATAATATGCGTCCAGCTAGTAGCGTCACGCTGTCCACCGGGGCGCCTTACACATCACTGTCTACTACCTATCGCTATATCGCAGCTATTATACACAAGTCTAGCCGCACAAATCCTGGCGTACGTCCCCAGGCTGCATGCTTCGCCAAGCCGATAAAAGCAACCGCTGCCGACTGTAGAGATTTGCCCTGAAAGCTTAGCCAGGGTGGGTGTTGAGATCCGGGCGAGACGAACGCGAAGTCGAGAGTCTAGACGTATCTCCTGTTAGCGTTGCGATTGCACAGTCTTTCGCTCTACTGGTTAGCTCTGTTCTGTTGATGGGGTTGCCTACAGTAGCAGATACAGCACGGCTTCGTAGAGACTAGAGAGAACTCGCTGTATATTGCTGGAATCCTACATCAGTGACCCAACAGCCCTGATCACGCCCTCTCGCTCTACTACGTAGGCCCCCTCATCTAAGCATAACTTCATGTCCCAAACACAACAAGACCTTGTAAATCCAGTGTCCAATCCTCCCTCCTCCCCAGTCCCAAACGCTCTTATACCGCCAGGAAGAAGACCGCGTGTACGGCAGCATTCACCAACCAACCAACCTAAGCCTTACTATTCCCGGCCCCTCGATTGGTCACAACACACATAATCCGCAGTCATTTTTAATGCACTCGCCCGCATCCCCTCGCCGGATCTCCACACTGATTCTCCGAAAGAATCTCGACTTCAATGTTTGATGTCAGCAGATGCCAAACACGTATAGACAGATACGGTATGCAGAAGCGGGTGATGAGGCAAGGGGTACGTAACCTACGCAAGCGTGGACAACCGGGCAGCTTTTTCGTCGCCAATGGCTGGGAGAAAGGATGAATAATTGATTGGTTCAAGGGAACGTTATTCATCACGCGGTGCGAGAGATGGGGGTGATTGTGAGTTTGGTACATAGTACTACGTAATCACATAGAGGAGAGACATTGCAACGCACCCGTAGTCCTGCTTTCGCGTTGTAAGGCTTTGACATTCACCTTCTACGCACTTGACATTCCAACTATGCCGCACCGGCCATGCAATCGTTCTGCACGTTGCATACTCCCATCTGTCCCCCACCACACCATAAACTGCCTACCCCAATACACACCCTCCGCCTCTTCGATCGAACCACATTTCCACGTAACCACGAAAAGAAAGAAAAAACAAACACTTCACTAGTATCTGCTACCCTCGACCAATGGAGTTCAAGACATTCATTCATCTAGACCACCAGAGCCAGAAGGTTTCCCGTTATCGTTATCGTTATCGTTATCGTTACCGATTGACGGCCCTATGGCAGCAGCCGTTGCGCGCACGCAGGAACCCGCTCCCGAGTACACCATGTGGGGCTTCGTCATCGCTCGAGCGCGGGTGGGCGCATCGGACTTGGGGGTTGGCGGTTTCAGGTGCGGCGTAGTCGGGAGCGGGAATGCATGCTGGTTGGCTGAGCGGGCAAAACAAGCGATAGGGAGGGACACCGAGTTGGAGTTGCGCAGTAATCTGATGATGGTACTGATGCTGATGATGATAATGATAATGATAATGATGATGGGAGCTTGAACCAGTCTAGAAGAATTGCTAGATGGGGAAAAGAGCCGAAGTAACTAGTTGTAATAAAGTTCTTTTGATTGATAAGGATGGTGTGC